AGAAACAAATAGCAATTAGACAGTTTCAATAATTAATACATTACATACTGTTGTCTTCTTAATGGTTATTCATAGTACAAGATGCAGACATGATATCCTGTTCACAAACACTATTAGAACAAATATTTCTATTCATTGAATTAAAAGAAAGTACACGCTCAATGTCTTTATAATTCAAGTTCCCAACTCTTTTGAGTTTGAATTTTATCCCTTTTTTAGTGTATCAAACTACTTCAAAGGTAATAGCTTCAAGAAGAATTTTATGATATGAAGCAGAACTTATGTTCTTGAAGCAAGCTGTAGCTGGGCATTTTTTCAGTGGTTAAATTACAAACACAAAGCAAAAACTGCCACTGCAAGAAAATTAAAGAATCAGAATGTTTCACTCTCCAGGTGGAAAAACACATTAACAAAGAGACCTTTATAAAGCATTAACCCAACAAATAAAGCAGCAGCCACTGAAGAGTCTTTATGTTTTCTCCTTTTATAGTCTGGTTTCTTGCAACAGTAGCCTCAATTTTTACTGCTCTACCTTGAATTCACACTCTTATTACAATACAGCTGCTGCCTGCCCCACCATCCCATTCTGCTGAAACCATTCTCAGCAGCACACTGATGACTTGCCAGTTGCATCATCTCCCTCTTTGATTTTCTGTGCTGTCATCCACTCCCCCAGCTAGATCATACCTCTTCTTGCTCCCCATGAGCGGGCATATCACAGGACTATGCCCTGGGTGTTCTTCTCTGCCCATCTTGCACTCTTCCTTGGCCAGTCACTGGCTCCCTGATGACTCCAGTGGTGCTCACAAACCTGTCTCCAGGGCAATCCTCTCATGCATTGAATCCAACTTCTTGTTCATAGGTGATAACCCATATGTCTCTTGCACACTGTAATCTCCACAAAGCCAAAACTGCATCCATGGTCCTCTAAACACAGAGCACCTTGCCTGTGGCCCTACTGGTCAAATGGCACTACCATGCCTCCAGCTCAGAATCCTGGAGCTACCCTTTATCCTGGGGACATGAGGCCTCCATACCCCACATCTAGGAAATGATCATGTTGTGTTAGTTCTATAGATAGGTGTCACTAGAGCCTGCCCCTCCTTTCCATCCTCACTGCCACTAACTTAGTTCAATTCCCAGCATCACTGCTCAAATCCATTATCCATTATTTCTGCCTCAAGATTTGCTCTCTTCTGCCACTTCATTCCCTTCCTATCTTCCAGTTATCTTTGAGATATAAACCCTATCTTGACAAACCTAGCATGAACGTTTCCCAAAAGCTCAAAACACTAGGATGACAATCTTAATGGAATAAAAGGCCTCTGATAATCTGCCTTGTACAAATGCTTTTAGCATAAAACTCCACATCCTCCTTTCACCCACTTGTTATTAACCAGCAGGCTCTCTCAGCATTAGCTCCGAGATCCCTCGTCTCTTCATTCTTACCCTTCTTGTCATCTGCCTGGAAGAGTCCTTCTACTCATCCTTTACAGAGCAGAGCTCAAGGACCATCTTCTCAGGAAATCATGGAAGCCCCAGGTCCTCCATTCCTTAAGCCCCTAGGCATTGCTTATGGCACCAGCCCTGCCCACACTGCACCACAGTCTGCTTCACTGACCCTGTGCCTGTTTCCTGCACTCATGAATGGGGTCTTCAGCAAGACGCCCCCACGATCTCAACATCTCTGAAGCAGTAGCTCTAACAAAGAGCCTTAGGTTCAGGGATGTCACATGTGAACGATGCTATAAAAAGCCACACAGATTTTACATCAGCAAGCAATATTACATATTACAAGCACTGGGCTGGGTTTCCCCCACTATTAAATTTGTCTGAATCACAAGATGCTATGAAAGATAAGGCATCCCAGTTTACTACAAAATGAATATTCTGGTTTCTCTTCATATCATATAAATCTCTCACCTTTTACCAATTTACTACAAAAGGAAATATACTGAAGTCTATGAACTGCAAAGTAGAAAAGCATGACTACAAAAGCTTTATATACTTGCACTGCAGATGGTAATTTGTAACAGTTGTTTCATGATGGGAGTGCCTGTCATTGTGGTATTCTGAATAGGGGCGGCTTGTCATGACATGCCA